ACTTATATCATGAAATGTCTGAGTTAAAGCTCAAAATAAATGTAAACCTACCTCACTTGCTGTGTATTGTCGTTTCCGTGGCTCTAAATGGCGAATTTGAGCGATTTGGTGGGTATTGCGTCGACACGTTATAAGAAGGAGACAAGGATAGAAAGCTCATTTTCGACCGCTCTAGTGCGAAGCCGATTTTCACCCAGAAATAAGAATTGCCCGTCTTCCAAATAAAAAACCAGATAAACTGAAAGGTTGACGCTTCTTCTCGTCGCATTCAATCGAAGATCCATTCAAAATCCAAGCGCTAACCACCAAAACATTTTCGAGAAATGTAGCTTTCGAAGCGATCAGCATCCGCAGCCCCGATTTCGTGTGCCAAGGAGCAACCGTCACGCTGTCTGCCCGACGCTGATTGGATGATGCTAAACGATGCCCGATTACAAATGCCTCATGTGGGAGGGGAGTCAGGGACATGTTCATGCCAGCGATTCATCTACTGACTAGCCTGGTGTGAAGTTTATGTTGCGTGAGGGAAACCCGACACGATGGCTCACAACAGGCTAGTCAGTAGATGAATCGCTGGCGCGAATTGCCCCCGACTCCCCTCCCACATGAGGCATTTGTAATCGGTCAGAGAAAGTAGCAATACTGCGTGTTCTCCTTTTTGTTAAGCATGACAGCTGGTGAAATAAATTTCCAACCCTGGGGAGCATTCCCCTCACCTGTTGAATTTTCAGGAATTCCAAGCAGTTTTATAGGAAAATTCATTACTTTACAAGGGAATTCTGCATCGAATTGTACACAAAAAAAACTGCTGCCATATCAGGTTTTCAGTGAAATTGAAGGTGGAATTCACAAGTCATGAGATGGAATTTCCTTGATTCACAAATTATTGAAGAATTGGAAGCATAAGGGAGACTGCACTACTTACAGTTGTTATGTATTTATAGATGTGAAACGTCATGTAAAGTGATGAGTTGTGTTTTGATGATTTTCAGTTCTTCTCATGAAAAGAAGGCAAAAGGCAGCATGGAAGGCAAGCAGATCAATTCTTGGTGATTAAAAGGCATCATTTTTAAAAACAAAATAATTATGATATAGAGAGACCACAATTTTTAATTTATAGCAGATATTTATGTGAAGGTGTAGTCTGATCGTCCAGGTGAGTGTAGTCCTGAGAAGGACTGTTGTCGGTGGCAGTGACTGACGTTTCGACAACCTGTGCGGAAGTCATCATCAGAGTCAAGTGAATGATTGTTGTCAGTAGAATGTTCTTATTCCAGTTCGTGTGAAATGATCGGTTGGTTTTGCCGTGATGTTATTGGCTGTAAGACTCAAGTGACGTAAGTCGGTCGTGATTGGTCTGTTTCGGTCTGTCGGTAAAGCTAGGTTGTTCTTTTTCGGTCGTTTGTGATGTTTATGTCGTGAATGAGTCGTTTGTATGGGGCGGGTAGTTGTTGACATCTGTTTAGGGGAGTCTGTTCTAAGTTAGTAAACCAGCTTTCCAGAGTCAGTCGTTGAAAATAGTCAGTGCTGTAGGTTAGGCATTGCGCAGAGTCCCAGTCAATGTTGTGGTTGGTAAGTCGATGGTGTTCAGCAATGTGATTGCTGACATCACCTTTCCTCGTCGCCCGTCTGTGTTCAGTCAGTCTTGTTGTGAGGTTTCTGCCAGTCTCACCGATGTAGGAGGCTTGGCAGTCGGAACAATTGATCTTATAAATCGTTCCCTGTCTGTTCCTCGGTTCGTCTTTGTCTTTAACGTTGGTTAGTAACTGACGTAGTGTGGTGATGGGTTTGTGGGCGACGCGGATATTGAAGGGTAGTAAGATGCGCGAGATGTTTTCAGACATGCCTTTTATGTACGGTATGGTTGCTGTAGTCGTAGGGGTTGCGGTGTCGTTTGTTTCGGTAGTGGTAGTGGGTCGGTGAGTGTTTCGTCGGATGAAGTCGTTGTTGTAGTTGTTCTTCGTAAAAACACGGTGAAGGTATTTGTTCTCGTCGGATAAGCTGTCTGTCGAGTC